CAATTAAAAATTATGGTAGAAAATATTTCACTGAAGTCGTCCAACTTAAAGGCTTGTTTAACGTTGGTTATCCAATTTCAATTTGTATAAAAAAAAAATTGATTACAACATATGTTTTTCTTTCAATTTAACCATTTTTTTTGTAAATATTGTCAAAAAAAAGGAATTTTGAATGTGGCCGAAGGAATTTTGACCCACCTAGTTTTTTTTGTCAAGACATGATTTGAATGATAAAATATGTGTTTGCCAAATCTCAAGTTTTCTATTTTAATAGTTGAGTTGGGATGACAATGGGGCAGTCGAGTCTAAATGATCCTCCTTATCTCAAATTTTGTTTAGAATTTTTTAAATGATTTGATCCATGTTTCTTGCCCCCATTCACTTATTTATGTAATTTAAATATAAAATAAAATAAGAGTTGGGGCGAGTTTAGGGTGGAGAACATATTTTCCATGTCCATCCCTACCGCATTTTGGACAAGGCAATGCAGGACGGGAGTAGGGAATTTTACCATCCCAAATTGTAAGTCTTTAACAATGATAAATGATGCGTACAATGAACTCATTCATCATAAATTATGTTATATTTAGTAATAGTTATAGATTGGCTGTTTAATTGAACAAAAAGTATAATGTAGGTAATCGAATTGATATAATTTGAAGATTATTGATCAAAATGAAAGAAACATGTAAGTTGCGTGACCTCAGGTGCAATTTACCCCTAACTAAGGCTGGTATAGTTTACCAAACTGGGCCATTAATTACTAACTAATTATGTTTCTTTCTTTCTGTCTTTATCGTTAATTAGTACTAATTAATTATGTTTCGAATATTTCAAATGCGAGGCAGCGAAACGCCCACGCATATCACATCATGATGATCAAATCGTGAGTTGTAAAAATTTAGTTTAAAAATCTTTTGCCGTGAAAATTATTATTATTATTATTATTTGGTCTCGACATGTTTACTTGTACAATTTTTATTTAAATATGAGGATAGGTCTCGATGTTCAAGACTATTTGATTGTGATTTTTAATAGCTCTTATGATCAAATGTGAATATTATTTACGGGATACAATAATAACCTGGAGATTTATTACTCAATCAACGTGTACATGACATATGTATCGATTTAACCAATTGAGAAAAATAATCGTACTTTAACCGATTGGACCACCTTTGAATCAAAAAAGATAAGAGTTCAACTTTAATAAGCTGAACACCATTTGATCATTGTGAAAATCAGTGTCAATCGATAAAAATAAATTTTTCGTGACACGAATGAGACCTTGATATTGTAAAGGGGTGCAGGTTTCATGAGGCAGGCCAGTCTTTTCGTCCCCCTTATTCTTGGATAATGCTGTTTGAGTTACACTCTCCACATGGAGAAAGTTCGCGCATAATTTATTGTATGTGGGTCCTCCTCCATGTGCGAGGGGTGTAAACTCGTGTATACACATAATTATGTATATGTAGCATTACTTTTTTTTTCTGTCACTAAAACAAATCAAATCATAAAAAATAAAAATTATGTTTGATAGACTGATTGTATCTTGTCGTTTTTTGTTAAATTTACACATGTTCAGTACATTTTGGCACTTCTACAATAGGAAAGGTTTATTATTATGTTTTCTTACAAGAGTAATATTATTCATAGTCGCTCACTCCTACGTGGCATCCTACATGACGGTTATTGATTTAATATATTAATGTACTAGTTTCTTCTTGCATCATATAGTAAATCACTAACCACCACATGTATGCACGTAGAACAACTGCAATAGTTAATGACTGCGAATAGCATTATTCTACTTAAAAACCCCTACCCTACACCTCAAGCAGTTCTCAAATTTGTGCAGATTATAATGTAAAGAATTGGGCTAGCACAGCCCCCCACATGTGGGGGGCCCACCATAAATTTTAAAAAATGGTGGGCCCCTCTATTGCGAGGGGGGAAGGGGTGATGTATGTGCAGCGAGCACTCCTCTAATATAAATAGAGATGGTAATCGAACTCGTCGGCTTGGTTAAGAAAAAACTCGAGTCGATCTGAGCCCGAGGTCGGAGTTTCAACTCGCGAGTTGGCTGGACTCGGCTCGTTGACACCCCTGGATATAAATGGAGTAAACACATGGGTTAAGTGATAGTGATGCATGGATTAGTCATCCATGGACAAATGAATGTGTAAAATATTGTAAAATCGCATTAGGTTTAGCAAGTTAGATTCAATAGTGTATAACATAATTAAAAAGAAAAAATGGGTATTTATTAATTGTATTATCTATCTAATTATCTCTATTATTTAATTTATTTTAATATGAATATACATAGATCCTCTTTTTTGTGTCTTTCATAATGAACTTTTCCTTTTAAAAATCGAACACTCAACTTTTCTATAGTAGAATATATAATTTTTTTTTTTTTCTAAGTCAGCACGTCCAACGAATCTTTTAAATCTAGACGGAATGGTAGATTATAACCATTTTTTCCTTTGCTACATTAGATTAAAGAATTTTTTTAACACTTTTCATTTTGCTTATGTAGCAATATTTTTAAGCAAGCCATTGAAGTAATGGAGATGCTCTCATGAACTCGAGTTGCGAATTGAATAAGTCGCATAGCAGCATTCGACACATACGCCCTTCTATGCTCGATAGGCTTGACGTTGATGCTGGATGAACTTCTATATTCACCATGCAATGAACGTTATATCACTTCGAGTTTAATGTAACGCTATATTGGTTAGTGCCTGTCTCGTTTGATGATTTTTCGGAAACCCCTTAACAAATTGGTCACTGATGAAGATGTGTCGACCTCAGTTACTGCAAAGTGTCCAATTCCGTTCCGTCCCTATACCTGATCTGTTGCTGCCAACTAATAATAGCTATCGTTACTCCAATTAAGAATTGCCTGCAATAAATAGCACTAAAAGGGCAGTGCCATCTGAGTTCTACAACAATGGAAGAAAACTTGCCGTTCGTTTATTTCAGCCAGATCTAACATGAATCTTACAAATCTCGTCTCAAAACACCGAACAGGCCGGGACATTATAATGAACAAAGATTTGGGTTGTTTTTCTCTGTACTATCCAACCCAACATGTAATAACAGGTATCCAAAACATTACAATTTTTATTAGCAGTAAAAAATTTCATCATTCTACAAAATTTGTACAAAAATGGGAGCTCCCTCAAAGTTCCCACAAGGTCAAAATAATTCTCAGCAATAAATTTTGACTAAATACAACACAGAAAGGAACCAATTGAGGATAAGGTGCGTGTGTGTGTGTGTGTGTGTGTGTAGATGTGTAGTACTTTCTTCTGACACTGACAAGGAAAGGAAATTTTGGTTGAACTTTGAGTCTCTTAAAGATCCCAATATTGAAGGGATATTATAAAAAGAACTGAAATATATTAGCTCACAACCAGTTTATCAGCCAGTCACCAAGTCATCTTCACCATCTTCACTGTCATCACTGCACCGACAGAGCCAGTATTAAACAGCATTACACAATAAAGCAAAGAAGGCCCTTGTTTATTAAAACTCAAATTACATGAAACAGAATATGTGAGAACTACATCTTCTGTCTTGGTAATGGTCAGTCACTTCAAATCTACGGTCAATCAAGTCAAAATGCCTTTGCTTAAAATGGAAAAGAGAAGTACATAAAGCTCCTTTCACTGATAAAGATTGCTAATGGATATGCACTATGTTGTCACCCCTTTCTAGAACTTTCCCTAAAAGGCCAAAAATTTAAAGAAACATTGTACATATTGAATCATGTTGTACAGGTTTGAGATAACTCCTGGTGAATGGAAAATAAAATAATGGGTAATAACTGGAAAATGTAAATAACTTCCCTCAACAAGTAACCCTTCACACATAACGTACACAAATGTAAATGTGTGTACATAGAGAGACATGTATATGCAGAAGTACACATACAGTGATGCACTAAATATTTACTTGGAAAAAACTTAATTGTAGTTTGCGGAGAGAGAAAATGATCAGCCATGCCAGAAGAATAACAAAATAAAGCTTCTAAAAAATATTCCGGCCAAAAAAAAAAAAAAAAACACTTCACCTGTGTTCAGGAAGCTTTGATAATCGTCTTGCATCCAAGCCTGATATATATTTTTGAGCGGCTTGAACATTTTCTGCTCCTGGAAATTAATAACAGAAAGTGGATGTTTTATGATTTAAAGAGAGGACAAATAAGATCCAGGATACAATACAACGGTCTCCCAGATTCGTCCATGCTTGTGCAGAAACTAAAATTATAAAACCATGTATGATGCCCTGGGTTTATCTAGATCATGTGTGGCTAAGTTTAAAAGGCTTAACTAAGGCCTATTTGATGTAGATTTTTTAAGAATAGATTTTGTGAAAAATGATTTTTTTATTTTTTTTTTTTTGTTTCTTCTTTTGTGTGTGTTTTAATTTCCATTTTTTGCCAATTCCTAGGACTAGACACGTTTACTATAAATATAGGACTCCTCTTTCAATATTTTTGGTTAAAAGGTAGGGAAAAGTTATAAATCAACTTGCAAAATCATTTTATTGGGAGAATGAAAATGAATTTTCAAGAATCTCTACCAAACGGGGGCTTAATAATAAAATTTACTTGTATGCAAATGATAATTTTTAAAATAAATAATAGTTTTACTGGACAAAGTAAAAAAAAGGACTTGCTCTAAAAGTAAGGTCTTTTTTCTAAAAAGAACAGAAAAATGAACTCATCTAAACATGCTAGGAAACAAAAAATAGTAAATTAAAAGTAACTTTGGCCTTTTTATGCTTGGCCAAACATGCTCCTAGTCATTAATATTGACGTAGGATTAAAAATAAAAAATAAAAAATTACATACCCTTTGTCAATTGGAAGGTATACAGAGCACATCTTTCAGCAGCAAACCTAACAGTTGCAGATCCATCCTTTATGCATTCAGCAAGTACAGGACCAAATAATGAAACATGTATTATGATGGCGGCAGGATTGACCTACATACAATTTAAGTATAGGTAATAGCAACATAGTATAAGAAATACGAATGAACTACACTGATGGACACACAATAAACATGTACTTTGGCAGCTGCCTTTACTGCAGACAAGGCCCTTCTTCTGACTTCACTTGAGTCATCCTGCATTGCCGTTACCAAAGATGCCAAAGTTTCTGAATGTGCAGTTGTGTTTGCAGGATCACTTTGGATTTGGTGAAGTAAAAGTCTCCCCAGAGATCGAGTGGATGATTCACGAACAGGGAACTAAATAAAAATGTAAGTATCAATACAATATGCCAGTCCAAAATAAATACAGTTCGATTCCACTGTGCTCTGCTTCAGTAAAATATCGATGCATGTATCCGAAATTTACCCATTCCCTCAAATTTTTAGCATGAAATCTTTACGCATTTCAAGTTTCTACCAATACACTTTTACGTTTAAAAGGGATAGAAAAGTATATGAAGGTGCTACTATCGAAAACATTGTACAGAAGAATGCATCTGACAGTAACTGTACAGTTCGACTACAAAGTCTATAATGCTGCATATAAAGGGTTATAGCACGTCCAAAAAATATAGTCATTAGATATGGTCATGTCATGTGATACACTAGAGTTAGGGTCAAAAGGAATCAAACAGCTCTAAATTAATCCTGAAATTCAAGACAATATAAAATACTTCGATGTTTTATTTTTTGCACTTAGTAGTGAAAATACAGAACAGATACGATAAGAAATATAGACTAGTGCATTATAATTCCACTATTCACTATGAAAGTTACTGAGAACTACTTTCGGTTTGTAAATTTTATTATTTCCTAGTTCTTAACATTCAAATAGTAGTAGAAAATAGCAACCAACCTTATCTGTGAGTAAACAAAACTCCACAATCATAGTAAAGAGAACAACTTGAGTGTAAAAAAATTCTGATAATGATCATGATTCTTTAGCTTAGAATGTCACAAGCTTAGAGTGACATGTATTCTCCATCATATACTTCTTTCATTATTGTCATTTTGCCTTTCACTAAACGGGTCTCTTTAATTTTTAAGATATAAATCTACTCAATTTACTAGATGTATCAGCATACCATTTTGTTTTGCATAATACAGAGAATATGATAGTGATGATTAATAAGTAATCATCAATCTAACTAAACTAAATATTAAACAGCTCGAAGTCAAGAATTGGCTAATTTCATGTCTTTACCGTGCTAATCCATGAGAAAGAGAGAACAAAGTTGAAGTTAAGAATTATCCAGTTTTCTTCTTAAATTTATAATGGTGAGATATCTCAATTGAAACTTCTGGCAAAGCAAAGCAAGCAATACCTTCTCATCCTTCAAAGTACTTCTGAGACTATTCACGACGACTGTAAACAACGGAGAAGCATAAACTATGGAAGGTTTGTGCCTAAGAATCGATGATATTGCCAGTACAGATCCATGTTTTGTGGTCCAGCTGGAAGCTGAAGCCGAATCTGTGAGTTCCTTGAGCACCTCAGAAATCTGACCATCTTCCAAGTACTGTAACACCATTGTGGCAATGCTTTGTCAGTAACAAAAAATACAAATGTCTAACAAATAATTGGAACTGATTTGGACAACATAAGCCTTTTGGAATAAAACATGAAATATACTGCCGACAAAAAACTCAACCCTTATTTTCACAGAAGTTTAAACTGCAATCCAAATAAAACCCACTTGCAGAGATTGTAATATCAATTGTAGTAAATTTGATTTAATTATTAGAGGCTTTTACTAACCTGTGATACAAAGCCCAAAATGCCAGCAGAAGAACTTCGTATATGGTCATCGTTATCGTATATCATGTCCTTCAGTTGGTTATAGATGCGTGTTTGAACAGCACCACTCACATTTTTTCCAGCGTTCCTAATTACACCTTCTAGAGCTCTCAAAATTGCCTCCCGGATACCAACATCATCAGCCTTGTAAGTAAGAATTCAGCCGTGTTACATTTTTTCTATTTACAACTGATGAGCAGAAATGATACATAATAACTGATTATCACCTGCAAACCAGACAGAAGATCACCAACTAAAGGATCAACCCTATTACTGATTGCACTAAGCTTCCCGAGGGCAAAGGCAGCACTTGATCGAACAGTCCTGCAAAAGAACTTAAATAAGCACAAAATAGGAGCATTTGTTCAATATACTGTCTTTTTGGATAAAAGTTTAGCTCTTGCAGATGCAAAACACCCAAAATAACAGCTATTTACTCATAAAGCTCATAAAATAGGCCAATAGAAAATGGTTAAACTGTGGGAATCCCCTTCTAATAGTTAAGAATAGATGTTATTAAAACCTCGTGTTGTCCTGTAGACACTTGATGAAAGTCGTTTGAAGCTGGGGAAGAAAAGGCTTTAGAGCCATCCCACCCTTCTGTATTATGATGCTCAAAGTTGACAGAATCGCATTCTTTACTTGCCAAGGAAATCGGTCCCCTATAATACGAATTAGTGGCCTGCAGAAGAAAACAAGTGACTACCAAAGTCAGCCTTCTTGATTTGGCTAAACCCAAAGATTCATATGAAATACATCCCTGATCAGAAAACTGATACTTAAACATGACATGAATAATACACTGAAGCACAAGGTTTTCATAATGTTCAGATAACAGTATCCATCATTTAAAAAGCTATTGTACATACCCCGTGATTGGAATGACAAAAGGCTTCAAAGCTTGTTCACTCGTCACTTCAATCAGCTCCCCAAGACCCAAAGCCGCTTGCTCTCTTAATTCAGCAGATCCACTTATAAGACCCTGAAAAAGTAAATAGCACATCAGAATGTCAAGGAAATCGTAAGAGCTGGAAGGCATTGAAAAGAAAGAAAAGGGAAATTTGATCCTTCAGAGATAGCATCTGAGCCAGAGAGAAGGGCACATCTTCGTATAAGAATCAATCACATGCTTCATAAGCACAAATACAGAATAAATAAGCATCCTAGATTTGTCTTTGGATAATACATGACACATTTTTTGCTGCATTTTCCCAGTCCTAGTCCAAACGGCAGTTTAGCATGAAATACTAGTTTGTTAATTGACAGATGAGAGAGAAACGAAACAGTGTTACAAATTAAGCATCACTTTTTCTCAAAAGAAAACATCAACGGTGGGGGAAGCAATTGAAACAACTTAAAGTCATTAAACTATAAACAAAAGATATCATATTTATTTTGTCAGCCTATTTTTTGTGGTCCCTCCCTAAGGCACCAGCCCCCAACCCCCATGCACGTTACCTCATGAGTGCCATAGTTCCTCCAACGAAGGTGAATTACACCCAGAAGCCACTGACCACACCATCCCTATCCCTGGCTAGCATACACAAACCACAAACTCCACAAGCTTAAAATCCTAGAACAGCTCAGCCATCATAAATACGCATCTTCACTTCCCCCCCCCCCCCCCCCCCCCCCCCCCCTTCTTCTTCTCACAAACACATCCAAGCAAACCACCAATGCCAAATAGAAACACTAAATGAAGGCAAAAATGTCAAATTATCAGTACTCTATTGGTTAGCTAAATAAACAATCCAAGCCAAACCAAGAACTCATTTCGAAATATTAGAAGCATTTTAACACTTCAGTTTTGTAAGCAGAAAGGTGAAATACCTGGAGAAAAATTGGAATTACAGGTTGAAGAGCTCTAGGGAGACAAAATCCAGGTATCAAAACTGGTCCTCCCTGCAATTATCAAACATTATGTAAGCATTTCATTTGAAATGAAGGCTCTTGAGGTGCTAAGATTCATTCTAAGCACCAAGCTTCAAACTGTACTGGACATTGACGTCTGAAAACTATGCAACCAAGTAGACATACTTTTCTCTTTCGACGTTCTTTATCCCGGGATGTTGACACTGCATCACGAACCAACTTTATATATGAAGGAAGAAGCTCTTTAGGAACTGAACTTATAACCCTCGATAAAGCTTCCCAAGCCACCTGTAGTTATGACAATATGAACATGGGACATGAAGTTGAAAAGTAAACAGAACCACTCCAAGCATTACCTCAACTGTGGCAGGATCTGTGTCACTGAGTAAAATTATAAGGGTAGATATCATGTTCGGAGCTTCATCAACAATATATAATTTGCTGTTTTGGAAGAAGTATCCAATCAGATAGGACGAACTTAGTCTAATTGAAGCCTGCAATGACAAATAGTGACTGAATAAGGATTTCTCAAATTCTGAATGTACATGAATTTTGTTTTTCTTCCCTGTGAAGCCGTGAGTGGGTTTTAAATTATCATAAAGCATATAAAACAAACTCGTGCCTGATTATCTCCAACTCCTTTAAGAAGTTCCGAAATCAAAGACTCAACGCCTTCCTCATCGATAACCAAGACAACTGTTTCTGCAGCCTTCTTTGCCAACGTTTGAACATCCTATATTTCAGGGGAAAAAAAGCGATCATGAAAAATTATGTCCGAACAGAAATCTAACAATCATTAACCACATGGAAGCATATAAGACATATACAAGTAATACAACATATGGACAAACTGCTTGGGTGGATTTGGTGCGCAAGGGAATGTGCAACTGCATACCTCATCACTGTCACTCATTGCAGAGAGTAAAGCAGGAAGAATGGTACCAAGATGGAAGTCAAGACCAGGACCAGCAACCTCTGCTAAAGCAGCCAAAGCATGCGCATTGAAGGCGCTGATAGCAAACCCAAAGACATAGGTAAACAACATACCAATATATGTATACCAAAGGTTTGAGCAAACTCGAAACATATAAACATACTTAAGTGGAAGGTTCACAAGCTGAGGGAGGATGTGAGGCAGCACAACAGTGGTCCTGACACTACAAACAAGAATAAAGGACAATTAATACAACAGAAATAATGCAATATAACAGCAGCTGTATAAGACAGCCAACATACCTCAAGATTTGTTTTAGGCCATCAAGAGCAGTATCAGACATTTGCTCATCTTCTAAAGCATGCAGAAGTGTTGGAATAATTTCATCAATTGCTTGAATACCAGCACTCTTATGTCATAACAAAACAGAATCAACTTCTATTTCCGAGCATCATAATAGAGATGAACTTCCATAAAACCATAAGCAGGTACCACGAATGTACCTTGTAAAGAGTACTGAATGCCATGCCTGCAGACTCACGAACCTCAGATACGCTGTTAAAAGTGAAAAACAAAATATGTGGTCACTCGTAACCTTCCTCAATGTCATTTTATGCACTAATATAACCAAGTAAGATTTACTGAAAAACCTGTCACAAAGAGCAGTCCGGATTGTAGGGATAAGCTCGTCCATAAAAGTCAACAGCTGACTCTTACCAGCACTAGCCATCACTTCACTAAGACCAATGCAGACACCCTGAAATTCAAGTGTACATAAGGATTAAAAGTAATATAAATAAACTAATAGTAAAAAGTTTACTGATCCAGATGTCCACAAATCATTGGTTATACTTATCGTGATTAGACTGAAGTTGAAAGATCATGTAATGATTAATAATTATGCCTTCTCAGAAGAAGTTAGAATTTGGGTATACCAAAACAAACATGTTCAGTTGTAGTTGCTAAGGGTCTAGGTCATTTGGACCTTCCAGTAAATCTAGCAATGAAGCAAATGAAGTTACGAAAAAGGTTCATGTAATCAACCTCAAATTTATTAGGAATATGGCTTAGTTTATTGTTTGTTGTCGACCAACTATTTCGCGACACGTCAAAAGTTTAACCACTTGGTCTTGAAGATTCACGTTTATTGGGGCCACAAGGTAAATTTAGGATGTATAACAATACTCAAGCAATTGTTATTCAGGATCTAGAAGACCAGTCCTCCAGAAACATAAACAACCAGGCTTGAGTACCTTTCAGTTTCTAACTATTATAAAAGGGTTTTCACGTGCATTATTTTGCAACCTTTCAATAAACTAGGTAAGATACTTTTGTGTAAGTGATTTGTTTCTGCATGCTTTTATATTCAATTAAATATGCATGAATTGCCAATGGACCTTCGGGTTCCCTAAAAAGTGATATGAAATAAAATGGGTGTATTACTTGATCGCCGATATACTTCATAAAAAAAGAGTGGTATGAAGTGTTTATTCTATTGTCATATAATTGTCTATAAAAAACTGCACGTATCTTATTGGGTTTTTTGAAATACTCACTTTTACAAAAGTTTTACAGGTTAGTTCGGTTGAATGGAACTGTAGCGGGATAGTGGTGTGGACTGTCAAAAGGATTTGGAAAAATAAAAATATTAAGCTTTTTTTTCATCTCCCAGTATATTAGTTAGTTTTATTTGTTAAAAGACACGTTTATTAATTAGTTAACTATGTTTAAATTTTTTTTTTAGATATTCGGATTCCACATTTTAATTGATATTTATGGTTGAAAATAAAGAAAATTACTTTTATTTGTGTCGGTTCCTCATTTAACGTAAAGATCATTGATTTTTTTTAATTTTTTTTTTTGTAACACTCGTGTTTACAAAATTTGGGGTGTTACATAAATGATATCTTGGGTATATAACTCTCAACTGATGATTTCCATAATAATAATAATAATAAAATAAAGATTTACCATGCAGGTTTCAAACACTTAAAAGAAGTAGCTACAATTTTTACTTCATATACAAAGTTTTCTTGATCATTTGCATTGAAGCAAGATGTGAAGAATTAAGGCAAATCACATAATATCTGATTCGCAGGCTTTGCAAGTCCTAAATCCAAAAAATGCCAAAATAACAATTGTATGAAGTAGGAAACAGATATCTTTTTTTTTTTTATAGGTAATCAAATAATTTTATTACTTAAAAGAGAATACACGTGGGGTGTACAATCACTTTAAGCTATTAAGGAAAAACATGAAATTAGGACCCATCTACAGGATTTCTAGCCACAGTATTAAACCAAGAATACAAGGTAAAGTAAAATGTTTCTCTTATCTGCTCTCTTGTCTTTGTTTGGTCTTCGAAGCAACGGTTGTTCCTTTCTCTCCACACGCACCAAACAATACAGCCCGGGATAAGGTGCCATACTAGTTTGCTATCCTTATCCCGAAGTTTTCTACGCCATGCCCGTATCACGTCCTCTATACGACGAGGCATCACCCAATCCATAGATTGTGAACTGATTATACTGTTCCAAATCTAACATACACCATCACAATGAATGAACAAATGATCAATCGTCTCCCCATCCTTCTTGCACATATAACACCACTCAGTTGCATAAAAGCCTTTACGACGAAGATTATCTACCGTTGAGACCTGTCCCCTCACAACTGTCCACAATAGGAATGCCACCCGAGGAGG